ATGGCCCAAGTGCTTGGGTCCTGCATCTGGCTCCTGGCTTCGGATCAGCGCGATGCGCCAGCTGCAGCACGCCGGCCGCGGCGGCCGTTGGAGGGTGAACCAATGGCAAAGGAAGACCTTTCTCTTTCTCTCTCTCTCTCTCTCTCTCTCTCTCTCTCTCTCTCTCTCACTATCCACTCTGCCTGTCAAAAAAAAAAAAATGATTAGACTGGGGCCTTAAGTGGCATCCAACAAACTAGCACAAGGCTGAACACCTTCTGGCCGCATTCTCTGCTCACAATTCAGAGGGCGGCCATCCACAGTAAAAACAGAAGACACGTCGTAGAGTCACACGTTCTGAATTAAGAAACACACTAAGAGCCCTTTGGTCAAAGTAGAAATCAAAACGAGTTAAGCAGATATTCAGGGGAGAGCCGCAGAACCTGCAGGCTGGGAGCAGCAGGCAGAGGCTCGGCTGGACCTGCTCCAGTGCATGGAACAGAAAAGGCGGGACGGACCAGGGCGACCTCGCAGGGCAACAGCACAATGAATGCACACATTCTGGGGGCCGCTCTCTGCAGGGGGCACCGCCCCTCGTCCCCTCCCGCCTCCCCCCAGGGAGAGTTCACCCTCACCTAGGGGCACAGAGGCGACCTTCGGGGGCCCTGGGCTCCCGGGGGCCGTCATCCTACTCTCAACCTCCCATTCACGGCAGCCGCACCCGCTGTCCCTTCCAAACTATTCTGGAGAGGCTGAAGCCCAAAGGCACCTGGGAACCACAGTGTTATTTACAAATCGTGCTTTAAAATCCTCTCTCCTCCGAGTGGAGCGGTCTCCTGCCTCACGGCATCGCGATGAAGATTCGGTGAGCCGCACACAATACAAAGGAATGCAATGCAATGCAATGCAATGCAATGCAATGCAATGCAATGCAATGTGATATAATATAATATAATATAATATAATATAATATAATATAAATAATATATAATCCTGCCTGAGTTAGCACGCCGGCTCGCACAGCACGGCAGTCCCTGTACTTGATCAGAACTCAGGTAAAGCGGTTGGGTCATTACCTCGTCATCGCCTGAACTATCAGACCCTGGGAAACCCTACCGCAATAGACCACAGGCCCGCGGCAAGCCCTGGAGCGCCGCAGCAGGGCACCAAGGCCGGCTGCAGCCCCCTCCCCCGGCCCACGGGCGCCCCCGGCCCCCTGCTGCCTCTGCAGCCCTGTGCCCAGCCCGTACCCCCCTACTGCCCCCCCCAACGTCCTGGGCGCCCCCTCCCCTGGCAAGGAAGCCCCGGCGCGGTCTGCGCCGCCTCCCGGGAGCCGAGACCCTCCGCCCGGCCACGCACCGCGGGTACCCCGCCTCTCTGATTATCAAGTCACGCATCTCTGGGCGAAACCCTCCGCTGCCCGCACTTTCACACTCCTCGCCTCGTTTGGTCCCCGCGCTCAAAGACCCTGAGCAGGGGGCTCGCGGGGCCTGGTGCTGGCGGCCGTTCCGTCCTTCTCATCCCCGGGTGCTCCCCGCAAACCCCCCGGGCGCGGGAGCCTCTCGCGTGTGCGCCTGGCCCGCAGCGCCCGGGCAGCGCCGACCTCCGCGGCCGCCAGGGGGCGCCACCGCTCGCTCTTTGGAGACCCCGAGCTGCGCGGTCTGGAGTCCCCCGGCCCCGGCCGAGCTGAGCGGCCTGGGGGACACGAGGATCCAACCCGCTTCAGACGCTGGTGCCGAGCTGCCAGAGCCCCCCGGAGGCCCGCCTCCTCGCCGGGGACTCTGGGGTTGGAGGTCACGGTCGTTGAGCCCAGGGCCGTAGCCGGACCCAGGGAGTCAGACACTCGGCTCTCCGGGGTGGTCAGGGGCCGGCCTGGAGCCCCCAGGGAGGACGCAGCTGAGCGAGCCACCTGCAAGTCAAGGTGGCGGTGGCTGCGGGCCTTGGGGTGGGTGCAGCAGGGGCGGGTTCAAGTCCCAGCTCCTTGGCTTCAGAGGCCGCCTCCCGCTGATGCGCACCCTGGGACCCAGCAGGTGCTGGCGCACGTGGGCAACCTACACGGAGTTCCCGGCCCCAGGCTGTGTGTGTGTGTGTGTGTGTGTGCGTGCGTGTTCACAGGGACGCCTTTGCACGCAGAGACCCACGGCCCCGCTGAGGACCGGCCTTGCTCAAGGACACCGCCAGCAGAGGGCGCAGTTTGGGCAAAGTCGCCCGGGCGGGGGAAACCGAGTAGGGTCCCCGTTCCGATCCCGCAGGGCCGGGTCTGTGGGGTGCAGCGAGGGCGGCAAAGGGGCAGGAAGCCCTCGCAGTGACCGCTGCCACCAAGGCGGCCACTTGTCCCTGCTGGCGCCCCGGGGAACGAGACCGCCCCGCACTCCTCCCGCCTGGGGGTCCGGACTCGGAGCTTTAAAGTCGGGAGAGTGAAGCGAGCAAACAGAACCCCGCAGCGTCCCAGGCAGACCCAGGAGAGCCAGAGTCCCCACCCTTGAGAGCCCTGCCCTCGCCCCAGGAGCCGCGCCCCAGCAGCAGTCCCCAGGGAGTTCCGGCAGACAGCGCCCTCTTGCGATGAAAACGTGCATCGCAGGGGCTTGGGAGGGGGCGAGGGGCTGGCCCCCAGCACCCCCAGGCCTCTTCCGCCCCTTTGCAGAGTTAACCAGCAAAAATCCACTTCCGATACTGTGAATTACCTGAGACTACTCTTGTGAATAATTAAGTTCATTATTATTTAAAGAAACTTAGGAGAGTTTCGGGAGCCTCTGGAAAGAGGGTGGCTTGTAAATTCAGCAAGGAGAAAGTGCCACTACCAGCTGCCAGCGGCTGAGCGCCAGCCTCGGACGCCTCCACCTGGCTGGCACCCTGATTTCCCCGGACAGACCGTCATCAGAGCGAGCATCTGCTTAATTAGCAATTTTCTGGGCTCCACTTGCGCCCTGCCTCCAGAGGCGGCCCCACTGTGCCCATGCCACACTGTGGGTCACCTGCGCCATGATGACCATTGCTTCCCGGTGTGCTCCACGGGGGGGCGTGCCATCTCCACGCACTGGACGCGCAGGGGTGCTCAGCACCTGCTCCGTGACTGACTCACAGACCTCTATTCAGAAAGTCTTAGGGGGAACTCACCACCTGTTGCAGGTGCCAGAAATGCCGCCGTGCCTGGAACAGACAAAAGTCCCTCTTATGGCACTTACACGCTGGTGGGTAAGTGGTTGTGTGGGCAGGTGAAGGGTTTTGTTGCTGTGCTGTGTGTGTGTGTGTGTGTGTGTGTGTGTTTGTACAGGGTATCCATTATGAAACCCACTTCCTCCCACGTGAATTCCATCTCTCCTTCCTAATACCCTCAGTGGAAGAGGATGAAAGAGAAGCCCACTTCCCCCAGAAAATGAAAGACAGAGAAGCTGATTCCCGGGGCGCGGGGATTATCACTAACGGAGGGCTCCAGGTGCAAGCTGTGGCTTCAATGTGGGCCAAGCACCGCCTTCCGGCACCAAGCTGCCCTCGGAGGGAAACCAAAGCTTCCCGTGGTGGCCCCGGCCTCCCCACCTGCTCATCCCAGCTCGGACTGCTGACAGGGCCCGGGCCCAAGGCAGCTCCCCCACGGGCTGGCTCATCAAGATGGCAGGGGTGGCACCAAGTCACAGGCTGCCAGGACAAAGGGGTTACACTCACTGGGCTCCCCAGTCCTCCCCAGCTCCTGGATCCAGCGGCGTCCTGACAGCAGGGGGTGTCTCAGTGCAGCAGGCAGCCCTGGTGCTCCCTCGGGGAAACTGAGGCCGGTGTGCAGGAGAGAGGGCACCGCAGCTGCCCAGCACTGCCCAGAATGCCTGCCGCACCCGCAGCGGCTCCAAGCGGCTCTCGCTCTCTCCTTTTCTCTTGCGAATGACAGCCGACGCCTAGAAAGCCAAAGACTGCCTTGCACTCTGCCTCCAGGATGGATTCTGAGCTGGTGGGATTGGGAGTGGGGCGATTTACCCTGCAGCCCAGGGCAGCCGGGCCTCTGCAATGCCACTGCCACACAGGTCTGGGGTCCCCACCAACGCCCGTCTGCACTCAGCACCGCCCCCTCAGCAGGACCCCTTCTCGAAGCAAAAGATGCAAGTGCCCACCAAAGACGCAGCCTTGACAATTCTGCTCCTAAGGCACGGGGACTGTGGTGAGCCTGGAGTGCAGGGAGAGGCGACAGAGCGGAGAGGCTGCTACCAGCACGTCTCCTCGCCCGGGCACTGCCCGCCTGAACTTGTTCTTTTTTTTTTTTTTTTTTAATTCATCAACAAAGGGCATGAGCCATAGTCAAGTTCCACCAAGTAAACAAGCTGTGTCTGCAAGTTCTGTGCAACCTACGATTTTAGAAAGGCTTGCCGGCCATTGACACCAAAGCGACTTTCACACGTCCTGTGTCCCATCTGATGCTTTCTCCAAGAACAAACGCACTCGCCATGGCTTGACCATGCAGGAAAGCACTGGGCATAAATGCACAGGGAGCCCTCGCATATTCTTTTTCTTCCTTGGTTAAGCAGCAGGAGATGGTGGGTTTTACCTCCCACAGATGCAGCACCCACAAAGTTTCCAGGCACGCGCCCCCAGTCATGCCTCAGACTGCGGCTCACTCTGGGGTTTCCGTGGTAACCTAAGGCTTGCCGGGGTCAGGAGGCGGTCCCGAGGGTCACACTCCCCACCCTGATGGTGCTCGAGCAAGAGGTGGAGAAAGTGAACTCCTAGCATCTGGCTCCCCCCACAACCCCACCCCAACGCACACACCTTGAAGATCCAACAAGAACAAGAGGGAGAGGACGGCGGAGGCGTGGTGGGAGGCCCCAGGCTGGGAGTCCAGGACAGGCTGGCCACCAGGACTCAAGACAGGAGCAGCTGAGCCCTGGCAGGCAGCCCCTGCGGAAGGCTGGAACCCACGTGGGTCCTGCAGGCCCTTCTCAGGCCCTGCCCCACTGTGACACGCAGCTGTGGGACACAGGAAAGGAAGTGGGCGTGTCCCGTCCAAGCAGAAGTTTCTAGAGCCAATGAGTGGCCCATCAGCTCTGGCTCTTTTCCCTTTGTGTGTCCCTGACAGGGGGCTACCTCTTCCGTCTGGGCCCCGAATGCAGGAGGCTGGTGGCACAGAGCCACAGCCAGCTGGCAAGGGCCACACGAGAATCAGAACCCCGTTGGGGAAGCCACTGAGAGGTGAGACACTGGTCCCTGCAGCCTTGGGTCTGGAAAGGTAAGGCGTGGAGGAGCCACACACACACACACACACACACACACACACACAAGCACTTACACACATACACACACAGGCACTCACACAGGCACACACACACACAGAGCTGACAAGAAGTTAGAGACACTCTGGCAGGGACGGGGGAAGCAGAAATGAGAGCAGGTGCTGTGGTGTAGTAGGTTATGCCTCTGCCTGCAGTGCCGGCATCCCATATGGGTACCAATTTGAGTCCTGGCTGCCACTTCCGATCCGGCTCCCTGCTAATGCACCTGGAAAAGCAGTGGAAGATGGCCCAAGTGCTTGGGCCCCTGCACCTACATGGAAAACCCAGATGAAGCTCTTGGCTCCTGGTTTCAGCCAGGCCCAGCCTGGGAGCAGCTTGCCCCTGTCTGCTCCTCTGGGTGCCACGCTCTTCACGGATACCATCTGCAAATCCATTCACACAGCACTCCCGGGCATTGCAGGGTCACCAGAGAAGCTGAGCTTGGGGCTGGAAAGAGGTGCACATGGGAGGAGGAAGAGCCTCCAGCCCAGGCCTGGGGCTTGCCTTGCTGTATGGGTATCCACGCCTCTACACACTTGCTAAGTGACATCAGGGCTTTTGAAGCAAGCTCAAAACCAATCATCAACAGTTGAATCATCCTCCCCTTCACATCACGGGTTCCAGGAAAATATCCACCTCCTGGAGATGCTGTGTGGGCCTTTGGTTCCCGGGAGCTGGCCCCTGCGAACCCCGGGAGCCCTTCCTGGAGGACGCCTTCTGCCTTCGTAAATGGCCAGAGTGGGCACTGCAGCTCCAGAAAGCAGCTGCTTCGCCTGGGAGTCAGGTGCATCTCTGTGCCAAAGGACACGAAGGGGCGTGCTCCTGGTGCCCGAGGTGGACACACGGGTCCCTGCCCCCTCTTTCACCATGCGCCATGGCCCATTCCCAAGCTGGTCACACAAACAGACCTCTGGGAATCTTCCCCTCCCGATCTGGACACTTCCGTATAAAATCTTTGTAAAAATGACACAAATGGGCAATGGGCACGGCCCTAAGGGTTCCAACCCAGAGGGGCACTGGGCGCAAAACGCGAGAGTGCCCAGGCTGCCCCCATCACGCCCTGCGTCCCCACTCCCTGTGCCTTTACCTGCAGCACAGAATGGAGGCCTCCCCCACACCTCTCCATCTTTCCTCCAGAAAGGGGGCGGGAGCATTTCTCCTCCCAGTACTCCTCGGCTGAATTTCCTGGAAGCGTGACTGCTATTTCGTGTGTGTGCCCTTGTCAGGACTGGGGGTGCTAAACTCATCACAAACACACAGCACCCCCACCCCCACCCCCGATGTGTGGCGTTTCACCTTGGGCACCAGCAGAAAACATCGAGGCTGGGCGGCACCAGACTCCTCTGATGTCCTGGGGTTTGAAAGGCTGGGCATTGGGACAGCAAAATTCAGGGTGACCTATGGGGTCCCCCTTTCCTGAAGAGACGGGGGAAGCCTGCAGCACATGCCAGATACGCCTTCTCTGCCCCCTAAGGGTCCCCCCAACTCAGCCTCCGTCTCTCTGCCCCTGCCCAGGCTGCAGCCAGGTGGCTCAGCAGAGGCGGGGGGCGTGTTCGTGGGAAGAAAAGCCCCTGTGTGTTCCTATGCAACAGAATCGAGTGTGCATGCATGTGTGTGTGTGTGCACGTGGGGGTGCGTGTGCGTAGGTGTGCGGTGTTTTTACAAACTCTCCTCCTTGGTTGTTATAAGATTAAAACCATTTTCTCCCTCAGTAAATGCTTCCCTTCAAGCCCCTGGCAGCTCGTAATTCGCCAGCCCATTTGCGGCCCTATCTCCTCGGGGCTGGGAGGAAGCAGTAATTGTGAGAGGCCTGTTTCCTTCCGAGAGGCCAGGGTGGAGCGAGCGATGGGCAGGAAGAAGCAATGTTTCCATGACAGCTCTGATCAATGTTTCATTTATTTTGAAGTTCAAAAAAGATAGGTGGGCATCGGAGGGTCCTTGGGCGTGTGGAGGGAAATCACTCTTTTATCCTCGCTGGGTTTAATGGACATTTTCATTAAAACGGCAGGAAATTTTAAGGTAGTTCTCGTCCTACTTGGAAACCGTGGTGGAGGGCTTCTGTTTAAATTCCTGCATCGCTTCAGCTGCTGAGAAATCCAAACATTTTAACCACGAGGCACGTTTGATTTTCCCTTAACAATGATGGGAAATTCACATACACCTGAGGACAGACACGCTATTTAAAATCACAACAGATTTCAAGGAAAAGCGTACACAAAAGGAGAAAATGAAAAAGCCGGCCCTGGCTGACGGGGTGGGGTGAGGCGGGGCGGTACACCAACTTGTGCTTGTCCTTGGAAAACATAAATTCACCTGTCGCCGGTCGGCAGTGCCAGTTTGCCAGCGCGCTCCCTGCCAGCTGTGAGCGCTCCATTCATGTGACTGTTTACATAATTACACAGCGAAACGCTGCCATCGCTCAGACTTAATACATGTTTTAACAAGCCCTTCAACCACCGTGGAGGCTTCTATAATCAAATCAAGTCTTTTCAATTAAAACACAATTGGAGAAGGTGTCACGGGGTCACGGGGACGCTTTTCCGCGCGAAAGGACTCAGCGATCACGTAGCCGGAATCCGAGCTAACCCGGGAAGGCTGAGCGTGAACCCCGGAGGGCACCCGGGCTGCAGGCGTGGCGGACCCTGACTCTCATTCCTGGGCCACTGTTCCGCTGGAGGCCGGAGATGGAAACCAGGGACGCCTGGGGAGCTTGCCCCCCCACCCCGTGCCAGCACGTGTCGCAGGCCAGAGGTGTGTGGTGGGGGGAGGAACACAGTTACCAGATACTCACCTCGCCCTGGCTCCTGGCTCCTGGCTCGAGCAAGTGCGATGGGATTCCGGGAGTAGAGACTATGTTAGACATCATTGACTCTCACTGCATCTTTTTTTTTTTTTTTTGACAGGCAGAGTGGACAGTGAGAGAGTGAGAGACAGAGAGAAAGGTCTTCCTTTTGCCGTTGGTTCACCCTCCAATGGCTGCTGCGGCCGGTGCACCGCGCTGATCCGAAGCCAGGAGCCAGGTGCTTCTCCTGGTTTCCCATGCAGGTGCAGGGCCCAAGGACCTGGGCCATCCTCCACTGCATTCCAGGGCAACAACAGAGAGCTGGCCTGGAAGAGGGGCAACCGGGACAGAATCCGGCGCCCCGACCGGGACTAGAACCTGGGGTGCTTGTGCCGCAGGCAGAGGATTAGCCTATTGAGCCGTGGCTTCGGCCCCACTGCATCTTAAAGGTATAATGCAGGGCTCACAGGAGATACATGGTTTATCAAGGCCATGGCTTAACATTTTGTGAAACAAAGTAAAACATGGACCTGCTGGCTCATTATCTACAAGGGGCCATCAAACAGTGCATGGGAAGTGGCTATTATGAAAAAAAAAAAAAAAACAAACTATACATGCATTTTTTTTTTTTGCAACACATTCAACGTTATCTTTTAATTGCATTTTTTCCATGAGTGTTTGGAAGTATGCTTGTATTTAGAGCAGCTCTGAGCTGTGGCTCAGTGAGCCCAGGTGGCCCTGGTTCGGAGAGGCCTTCGGGGGACAGATGGTTCTGCTCCATCACAGTAACAAAGGTCGGAGGTGAAAGGTCAGTGCAGGGGACAGAATAGTGGCTCCAGGGAGAGAGGTCAAACCTCTGGTTCCCTTGACTGTTACTTTATTTGGACAGAGGATCTCTGCAGATGTCATTAAGGGTTTGGGCTAAGGCGACGTCCGGGCCTGCCCGGTGCCATGGTTTAAACAGGATCTGGCCCCCCAACCCATACAGTCCTTCAAAACCCAAGTCTCATATTAATAGCTAATGGATTGATGTTGATTGTTGGTTGATGCAATTATGATGCCTGGGAGGTGGGCCTGTGGGAGGCCCTTAGGTGGGTGGAGGCGTGCCTCTGGAAGGGTTGCCAAAGGGTTGAATTCAGCCAGTGTCTGCTTCCTGGCTCACCACCTGAGCCCCTGCACAGGCTCCGCCCGTGGGTCCTTCAGCCCCACCAGCCGGCCCTCCTGACGGGCTGCCCATCTTGGACCGTGAGCTTCCAAAACCGTGAGCACAAAGAGACTTTCTGGCTTCCCCAGGAGCCCCTGCCAGGCACTTTTTATAGTGACAAGAAGCTGACCAATGTAGCCCGCCGTAAATCCAAGGGCCGATGTTCGTATTAGAGACACGCACGGGAGAGACACGCGGACACAGAAGGAAGCAGCGTGAAGGTGGAGATGACAGTGAGGCAGACACCGGCTGAGCAATGTGTGGAGCAGCGAGAGGCAAAGAGAGACCTGCCCTGCGGCCTGCGGCCTGCGGCCCTGCCAACACCCTGCAGTCAACCGCCAGCCACGGAACGGTGAGAGAATGAATGTCTGTGCTTGGAAGTCACCCAGTTCGCGGTCATCCGCTATGGCAGCCGCAGGACACTGACACAGCTGACAGATGCTGTGGCCGCACGTCTGCTCTGCTCTCTGCCCCGGACACTCAGTCGATGGACTCCTTCAGTACCTGGCTGGGCTTGGCCAGTGCGGGATGAGGGAGGCAGGACGGAGAGGAGGGCGAGACCTGACATCTCTGGCTCCCGCCCGCGGGGTTGCCGTAGCTGACTGGCTCCCTCAGCTCCTCTGGAGGAAGGCCCTCTCCAGGGCTCTCGAGGCCTGCAGCCTCTGGACTGGCGGTCAGCAGACTCTCCCCACTGCTCCATGGAATATGGGTGGAGGGTGTGACCCGGCTCAGAGGCGCGAGTGACAAGAGCAGAGCAAGGACCACAGGGCAGCCTTGAAGCCCCATCTGCAGGCTCTTTCTCAGTGCATGCTGTAGGCCAGGGACAGCAACCCCAGGTCCTCAGCCTGCCAGGGCAGACATCACTAATGGATCAGGACGCTCATTGAGATTCATCCCGTCTTTGTCCTGGGGTCATTCCCAACACAGCTCCCTGGGAGGCCACAGGAGGGGTCTGAATTGCTGGGCCCTAACAGATCTCTTTCAGATGAGGCTACTTCAAAAAGTCGGTGGAAAACAGAATTAAAAGTTAATTTAAGGCCGGTGCCGCGGCTCACTAGGCTAATCCTCCACTTTGCGGTGCCGGCACACCGGGTTCTAGTCCCGGTCGGGGCGCTGGATTCTGTCCCGGTTGCCCCTCTTCCAGGCCAACTCTCTGCTGTGGCCAGGGAGTGCAGTGGAGGATGGCCCAAGTGCTTGGGTCCTGCACCCGCGTGGGAGACCAGGAGAAGCACCTGGCTCCTGCCATCGGATCAGCGCGGTGCGCCGGCCGCAGCGCGCCGGCCGCGCCGGCCATTGGAGGGTGAACCAACAGCAAAAGGAAGACCTTTCTCTCTGTCTCTCTCTCTCACTGTCCACTCTGCCTGTCAAAAAAAAATTTTTTTAAATAAAAAAATACCATAAAAAAAGTTAATTTAAAACTGCACAGAGAGGTCTTCAGAACACCTATAGAATGTGTGTATCAGGAAAATGCTACGCACCTCTGCGGCTCACTTTCCCCACTGGACTTTCACGGACAGCCCTGCACCTGCTCTCCCGCATCTGTCAGACTTCCCCCACAGCAGCCGGCCAGCAAGGAGCAGTGGGACACCACTCACTCCCCGAGAGGTGGGTGGGGAAGGAAGCGCTCCTCTTGGCTCCCTCCTGCTTTTACCACGGCCAGGATCCTGCTTCCTGGGACGCCCATCCCGGTCTGGAGGCTGGAAGGGGCTGTCGGGCTTGGCGGAGTAGGCAGCCGCTTCCCAGCAGCTGACTCTAGGGTCGTGGTTTTGCCTGGCAGGCCGCGTACTGATGGGGCAGACCTCAGACCAGCCACCACGGGGACTCCTGATCATCCATCATTGGGGCTCTCTGGGGAGGGGCACCCGTGAACCCCCTCCTCACACCCTGCACTCTCGTTAAGGCAAACACTGTGCATTCAATGCCACATCTGCTCTCTCCAGCTCGAGTCCAGTCAACTTTCTAGATTTCCACTTCTAAAGGCAGGGAGGATGAAAACAGCCTTCGGCCCTGTCGGTGTAAGTTCAAGATGGCAAAGTGAACAGCTCAGCGCGTCTGCCGATGTTAGCAACGCTGCTGCTTGCTGCTGGCCTCAGCAACCCGTTTCAGCCATGTCAGGGGCCAGCTGCAGAAGAAACCGCTCACTTCCCTGGGATTCAGACCCATCTGGGGGCCACACCACGGCGAGGTCAAGGCTTGGCAGGTTTTTGGCTCTCTGGCGCCTCCCCAGGACCGCCCCTGCTACTACATCTGCTCCGCATGAATCCTCCTAAGAGGATTCATCCAGACAGGAATAGAGACACTTTCGTGTGGCTACTGCTTGCTGCTGGGAGTGCACAGAACTGGGAAAACACGGGAAAAGGGAGACCTTGGGAGAGAAAATAGGCAGCTCTCCAGGTGGGCCTGGCAAGACCCTTAGCCTCCAATGGCAGACAGTCCCCAGGGACGGATACAGGCTGGCGCGTGGAAGGCTCCGTGGCTCAGCGGAATGGAAAGCAGCAGAAGCCCCCCAAGGGAAGGCTCAGAAGAATGTCAGAAACGAAGAAGAGGGTTGGTGCTGTGGCATAATAGGTTAAGGCTCCCCTGCGGCAACAGCATCCCACAAGGGCACTGGTTCGAGTCCTGGCATCCGATCCAGCTCCCTGCTGATGCACCTGGGAAAGCGGTGGAGGATGGCCCGGGTGCTTGGGCCTCTGCACCCACGTGAGGGACCCGGCTCCTGGCTCCTGGCTTTGAATTGGTTCTGGCGCAGTCATTGCGGTCATGTGGGGAGTGAACCAGCAGATGGAAGACCTTTCTCTCTCTCTCTCTACCTCTTTCTGTAACTCTGCCTCTCAAATAAAATAAATCTTTAAAAAAAGAATAAAATAAAAAAGAAACAAAAAGCATCCCGCCAGGTGAAGGCAAGACTCCAAGTCACGGGCAGATCCGGCGCTGCCAGGGGTTCCTGCCTTGGTTCCCTTGGTTTGGACTCCAGACTCCCCTCGTTAATTGTGATTGTCCCCTCAACGTGGAGATTACCCGCTGAGGCGGCAGGTGGGCTTCTCTCCAAGGCAGCGACCCTACGCTTCCCAGCTTTGCTCAGTGGCCGGCTCAGCCCCAGGCGCTGCTCCCCCCACACGCCTGTGGACCTGACCTTTGGCCACTATAAACCCCCTCCGCAGGTGTTAATCCCCGGATGCCCAGGAGGGCTTTTCCCTTCCATTCCTTCTGCCTCCCCCTGCCCTGCTCTTTTCTTTTCCAAGGTAAAGTTACGTTTCAAAAACAACCCCTGCATTTATACATACAGATTTTTCTAAGCATCGTACTTTAAACGATTCATCGTATGGCTTATTGGAAAAACTCAAGGTTTGTGTCTCAGGGGACCCACAGAGGTCTAATCCAGAGATACTCAAAGTGTGGTCCCTGGACCAGCAGCATTAACATGGACCCTGCAAAGTGAAACCAACAACCGGAAGCGGGGCAGGGTGGAGCCCTGTCTCTGGTGCATGCTCAAGTTTGAGAAGCACTGTGTGAGCCGAATTTCCCCTGCAGCTCCTGCCCTTGGGGCAGATTAGAAAACCGAGGCCCAGGGTCAGGAGAGCAGGGTCATCGCTCAACAAGTATGGAACACTATATCGGGAATGAGGGACGTTGCTAACAAAGACAAATGTGGCTGACCCCAGGGAACTTGCTTTCTGTAAACAAAAACCAGCTAACCAGAAAAGTCTTTGTGGTTGTGGTTAGTGCCACAAGGGACAAGGCAGAGTTAACTGGGCATAAGCTTTACTTGGGATGAGACGGCCAGGAAAGGCTCCCTGGAGGAGGTGATCGTTTAGCTGGTGATAAAAGCTGAGCAGAAGCTGGCCATGTGGACACCAGGAGGCAGAGGCCACAGCTCGGGCCAAAACCCTGGAGCCAGCAATCACCTGGCCTCTTCCAGGACAGACAGGTGAGTGTGGCGGGAGCCGAATGAGCAGGAACGAGCCCTGGCCGGACCAGTGAGACAAAGAGGGAGGGAGGGGCACTGCTGAAGATCAGGCCACAGAGGGCCTCACAGTGGTCGCCACAGGAGTCAGGTTGGGGTCCCTGGCCCCCGGGCCGCCTCCGAGGGGCTCCAGGTGCTGAAGGGGCTTCTAGCCTGAACCCCTTCATCTACCCCCACCAGAGCATCTCGTCCGCCTCCGGAAGTCCTCACTGATCTCCCTTTCCATTTGTCCTAACTTGGATTGCTCTTTCCTTCATAGGCCATCGACGTGACCGGCCTCGTCCATCCCAGCCCATGTCATCTCCTCTCTGCCCAGGCCAGACATCTTCACCCCTGCTGCAGGGCGGTGTGGCAGCCTCCTGAAGAGGATGAGATCTGGAACCGAACTGCCTGCTCTCAAGGTATGTCTCTGCCCGTGGCCTCTGCCCCTCAGTGTTCCCATCCATAAAATGGACACAATGCTCAGTAGGTGTGTTGTGGGGTAGCTTAAGGCCCATGGAAGGACCCAGGAAGCTGCTATCTTAGCAGTTTGGGGGCCTGCTTTCTGCCAGCACACTGTGCTGCTGTCCCTCCCTGATGGGCACCACTGATCAGAAGCCACCCCCATCTGGCCACTGGCCTCTGTCATCAAGTCGGCCTGAGTGGGAGAGAGCTTGGTGTGATTTTCACGTGGGGCGACTGGTCTTTCCCGTAAGCCCTGCAGCCGTGACACATGCACACTTTTCTATTTGTCCTTGGCCTTACTAAGAGAACAGGGCCCTCACGGCCCTTGTGAAAACTGACTTTGTCCTCCAGGGACAGTGCAGTGACCCGTGGCAGAGTGCCACTCCCGCGGGGGCCTGGAAGGAGGCTGAGACCACGGCAGAAACCTTCTGCAGGACAGCAGTTCAAGTCCAGGACCTGCACAGGAAGAGGGGCCTGCTCACAATCAGGTTCTCCTGGAGCACCTGGGAGACTATGACTGCCCAACAGGGACAAGCCGCCAAGTCCCCGGAGGGTTACACTGACCACTCCAACTTTAAACGCTGCAGATGCGAAGCTTCCTTTTGGAGTACCTTTCTATTGTACCTCGTACACCAATTGTCTGGCCTTCCACAGGAAGTTCTGGGTGTGTCTAGTAATCACCTAGACTGACAAACAGAACTAACTGACCCAAATCCAAAAGAAACAAAAAAGTCAACAGACATAGACACTTGGGTTATTCCAAACACCGGAATGAGCGGACACGGACTTCCATCACAATACAAATGTTCAAGAAAGCAGAGGGAAAAATGGGAGAAACCGATGAAAAGATGTGGAATTTCAGCAGAGAATGAAAATATATTTTAACTGAAAAACAATAAAAATTAAGAAGCCAGGGGACAGTTTGAAGGGCACGTGAGACACAGCAGAGGAGAATATAAGTGAATTTGAACATGTCGATAGAAAATACTCAGACAGAAGTAAACAGTATAGGGAAGCAGAAAAGGCCATAGGGCACACGTGGGGACCCCCGCAAAGGTCTAACTGGTAAGTGGCATTCCCAGAACATGAGGAAGCCAGCTCCCCGGAGGGGACAGCACCCTCTGCTGCCCCCTACTCTTCCCCTCACCTGGGCCCCGCTGTGAGAGATCTCAGCAAACACACAGCCACACTGCCGTCCACCCAGCCGCAACCAAAGACCAACTCTTCCCCGCACTGGACTTTTTACTGAACTCCATGCAACATCGGGCCTCAAAATGTATATAGTAAAAACTGGGGTTTTTCCTGCTGGCAGAGATACCTCCCCCATCCTCATGACCCCTAACTCAGCTGTGTCCCAGTGTAAGGACCGGACTAGGCTGCCTAGAGCCAGGCGGGGAGGGCACTGCGGGGACCCACTGAGGGGCCCACCAGGCCGGGACCCCGAGGAGGGAGTACCAGAGACCACGGCAAAGTCGGTATCGTGTCTTTGACCCCTGCTGCTTTCCCGTTAGAATTCAATAACTCTCCTGTTCTCTACTGAGAAAAGCTGGTAGGGCTGTGAATTCGGTTTCTGAGTACAGCTTATGTAACAGAGGGAGAAATAAGTCCCATTCAAGCAGAGTTGAACTGAGACTTAAATTCCTAACACCCGTCAGATGTGGACAGTCTCACGTTTTCAGTACGCTGGGAGAAACCCGGAATCCCTTCCCGCGCTCCTGCACGCGGCATGCAGTGCGTTTACGCCGTTCACGTCTGACCTCAGCGCAGGGCTTCGGGTCTGCTCCCCCCTAACACACTCTTCTTAAATTAGCATCAGCTTAGTTCAGACTCCGAGATGGCTGTGAGCGCTGCAGCCCTGCAGCCGGCCAACCTCTCTCGCCTCTGGGTCCTGTGTAAATGGGTTCCCAGCCGAGAACTTCCTGTGCCTCGGGGATCCAAAATACAAAAATGAAGTCAAATTAGCAGACAGACACAGACCTTGGGAAGGACCGGGAAGATTGCTGGCATTGCCTAATTTATAAGATTGAGGGATCTTCAAAACGTTCCTGGAAATATGCGTTCTACAGGCCTGTGCCGCGGCTCAATAGGCTAATCCTCCACCTAGTGGTGCCGGCACACGGGGTTCCAGTCCCGGTCAGGGCGTCCTATTCTTTCCGGGTTGCCCCTCTTCCAGGCCAGCTCTCTGCTGTGGCCCAGGAAGGCAGTGGAGGATGGCCCAAGTGCTTGGGCCCTGCACCCCATGGGAGACCAGGAGAAGTACCTGGCTCCTGCCTTCGGATCAGCATGGTGTACTGGCCGCAGCGCGCCAGCCGTGGCAGCCATTGGAGGGTGAACCAATGGCAAAAGGAAGACCTTTCTCTCTGTCTCTCTCTCTCTCTCACTGTCCACTCTGCCTGTCAAAAAAAAAAAAAAAAAAAGCGTTCTGCAACAACCACCTATGCATGGATTTCAACATTTTCTTTTTTTGCACTCAAGTAATCGTAGGACATCGCAAGTAGTCACTGTTTTCCATGAGCTTTTGAAACCTCCTTTGCGTGGGAACAAACATGGGGCATGTGACCTCTCACTGAAACCTCTGGCGCTCCTGTGAGGTGGGGGCCATCATTTCTGCCCTCGGGGGAAGAGGAGGCCGGGACTTAGAAGGGCAGCCCACACGCCCACCGCCTTGCCCGGAGTGCTCAAAGCCACTGACTTCCAGTCCCAGAAGCCCACCCCGGGCACACGTCTGAGGTTCATTCTGCAGGGCTGGTATCCCCGGCCCCTGACAGAGGGGGTCACGGTAGGAACCCCGGTTCTCCCTGCTCAGCTGCTCCGATGGCGCAGGCCGCCCCCTGCCCCAGCGTCCACGCCCCACGTGCCAGGCCCAAGCTGCTCCAAATTACGGGGTGATGGATGCACGGTGAACTCTGCTCAGGGCCCCGGGGTTTTCGATAGCGCCAACCCCCGCCTCCCCGGAGCCCAAGCCGTTTCACGGCCGGAGCGAGCAGGGGACGGAGCTTGCCAGCTTGGGCACCTGACTCCAGACCCAGGGTGGTGCAACAGGGAGCGACAGGGAGCCACTCAATGCGTGCTCCCTTGCTTGTGGGAGTCAGCGCTAAGGTCTCCCGGAAAAATCTGCCTCTCCCAATCAAGTGTCCTTCACTGGGAGTTTTCCTTCTCTTCAGGGTGACATGAGTCACCAGTTTTCCAATGGCCTGGAGGGGTGAACAGTTGGCCCAGTGAGTAGGGGCACCGCAGGCCACACTGGGGTACCTGCATCCCACTCCTGGCTCCCCCCAAGGCATCCAGTCCCCTGTGAAGACAGCCGCTGGGAGACGAAAGTGTTGGCTCAAATACCTGGGTTCCTGCCACCCACGTGGAAGACCTGGATGGAGCTCCCAGATTTTCCCAGGCCCAGCTGTCAGGGCATCTGGGGAATGAACCAGCAGGTGGGAGTATGCGTTCTTTCGCTCTCTCCTCTCCCCCTCAAGTAATTTTTTAATTAATTAATTAAATACTGGAACAATACTTGAAATGTAAAAAAATTAAAATAAAATGAGATGGTTTGGAATCTGCAGCCGAGTTCTGGGGACTGTGGTTTCAACAACTCCTTTTCAGGCTGCTTCCGAGTGCACATTTGCTCGGCCGCTGAGCTACTAGGGAGCTTACTTTCCTGACGGGGACGTCGATTCTGGGGCTGACTTAAAACCACTGCCAGGCCGGCGCTGCGGCTCACTAGGCTAATCCTCCGCCTTGCGGCACCGGCACACCGGGTTCTAGTCCCGGTTGGGGCGCCGGGTTCTGTCCCGGTTGCTCCTCTTCCAGTCCAGCTCTCTGCTGTGGCCCCGGAGTGCAGTGGAGGATGGCCCAGGTCCTTGGGCCCTGCACCCCATGGGAGACCAGGAGGAAGCACCTGGCTCCTGGCTTCGGATCGGCGCACGTGCTGGTTGCAACACGCGAGCTGTAGTGGCCACTTGGAGGGTGAACCAACAGAAGGAAGACCTTTCTCTCTGTCTCTCTCTCTCACCGTCTAACTCTGCCTGTAAAAAAAACAAAAACAACAACAAAAAAAAAAAAAACAAAAAACACAAACAAACAAACAAACAAAAACACTGCCAAAATGGTCAAGGAGGAAAGAAAACATCCATTAAAAAAAAAAAAAAAAAGACTTGAAACAGGATTTCAGAACTGCCACTGTGGCATCCACGCTTCGTGCCTCTCCCCATCTGCACTAGCACTGACCAGGGCTGCAAGAAGGCATCTACAGTATGCCACAGCCAGCTGTGTTTTCCCTCCAAACTGCAACCCGCAGACAGGCGAGGATAATCATTCTTGCAGCCCACTCTCCCTCTCCCTCACTCAGATTTGTTATTTCATGTCAGCTCTGAGTTTCTTTTTATAATTAACAAAGGGAAGCACTCGCATGGGATTCTTGTGTAGGGATGTGGGATTGAAACATCTACTGCCAGTGTCTTATGGTTTTTTCAGCTTTCTAGAAGCTTCTGAGATGTATATTGTTCTAACAGAGGCTTTGTCTGTAGTGAATGAAATCCAGCTACCAAGTCAGCTTGGTTAAAACAATGTTGGGGGGGGTGTCAGGGGCTGGCACTGTGGCACAGCGGGTTAAGCCTCTGCCTGTGGTGCTGGCATCCCATATGGGCACTGGTTCATGTCCTGGCTGCTCTACTTCCAATCCAGCTCTCTGCTATGGCCTGGGAAAGCAGTAGAAGACGACCCAAGTCCTTGGGCCCCTGCACCCACATGGGAGAGCTGGAGGAAGCTCCTGGCTCCGGATTGGCTCAGCTCCGGCAATTGTGGCCAACTGGGGAGTGAACCTGCGGATGGAAGACCTTTCTCTCACTCTCTTCTGTAACTCTACCTCTCAAATAAATAAATAAAGGAAAGATGGACAGATCATGGAACAGAACTGAGAGTCCCAAAATGAAGATGCCATTTACAGTCAACTGACTTTGGAAAAGGGGATTGGCGAGTTAGCTGGGAAACAGTCAGCTCTGCGATGGAAATGGATGGCGCTGGGACACAGCCGTCATGCAAGCAAGGTGGAGCCGCATCACTGGACTCAGAAATGAGTCCCAAACAGATGAGAACCCTACCTGAAAGAACAAAAACCACAAAACTCGTTAGAAGAAATGAGAGATGCGTGTTTATTCCCTTACATTAAGCAATGATTTCCCAGATATGACACCAAAAACACAAGCAGCAAGGCAAAAAACAAAACAAAACAAAATACAGACATCAGACTTAATCAAAATTTTAAACTTTTCGACTTCAAGAAAATGAAAAGACAGCTCACAAAATGGGAGGAAATATTTACAAATAATACATCTGATGAGGGAGTTGCTTCTAGAACAGGGAAAGAACTGGTACAGATCAATACTAAAAAGATTTAACCTAACGTAAAGATGGGTCGAAGATCTGAGCAGACATTTCTCCCAAGGTTCACACACGTCCATTCACACACGAATGCTAATGTCACATGGTAGCAGTGAAAAGCAGACCAGTGAGGTACCATTTCACACCACGAGGTCGTCTACAATCGACAGGACAGGTAACAGAAAGTGTTGATGAGGACGTGGGGGCGTCAGAAGCCTTGAAAAGCTGGTGGGAAGATAAGATGGCGCAGCCGCTGTGGAGAACAGCCGGACAGCTCTTCAAAAGGATAAACAGAGTAACCATGTGCACGACCTGCCAATTCCACTGCTGGGCACGTACCTAGAAGTGGAAAAACACTTGCACATGAACACTTGCACATGAACGCATGAATGCCACGTCAGCATTACTCACACTAGCTGGAAAACAGAGAGGACACGCATGGCCATCCGGGATTTACTCACACACACAATGGAATACTATACAGCAGTAAAAAGGCAAGCACATGGACCAAGCTGCAAATTATGCTGTGCAAAA